TGTTTATACATTTCTAAGCATCAACAAATTTATTGTATTTTATTTTGAGGATGCATGGAAAGGGAAGATATTTTCTTTCTGTGCATCCTCTCCTCCGTCGATTTAAGGTAGGCAACGCATATGCAATTGCGTATGTCTATGGGCAACGGTTACTTCGCTATTTCAGCGATTTCGATATAAAAAAAAATTACACAATTGTTATTCGATTATTACTTTATTGAACTCGAATTAACGAAACTGAGTAACTCCTACAACCCAACAGATGGCGGCAACTGTTCTTGGTGACGTTGTCTACTAGCCGAAGAAACCTGCAAAAAAAAAAAATACAGATATCGTTACAATTACATGAACTATTGTAATTTTAGAAAGAAAACACAACTCAACAAACTTTAAATATTAGTAATTTTATAATACATCGCATTTTAAACCGACAGACAATCGTAAACTATTTAATTTCTTTTTTTTTAACTTGAATCATTAATAGAATTGACAATTAACTTTTGACGGGTTTGACGGGATCAATGATGTCAATTAATATTACTAGAAAAGAATTACGAAATTAATTATTAACTTAATAACAAGTAAGTAGTGACCGAGGGTGCCGTTGGTGAAGATGCCGGCGAGTGCGGCGAGCGCGTTCAGCTTGGCCACAGTGTGCTCAGCATGCGCCAGTGCCAGGGCGCCCAGGAGCGACGTGCTATTCGCCAGTCCACTGCAACGTACATTTAATGTAAGCTATGACATAGGCGACCATTTTAATTATTTTAATGTTACGTACATATAAATCAAAGGTAGGTAAATCCAAGTCTGTAAATTATTCAGTAAATGAACTGAATTTGCTTAGAATTTTGTTTCATTTACTAAAATGAAAACACTGAAGCGTGTCCAACTAACTAAACTAGATGGCGCCATAGTTAACTTGTTTAACGACACGTTTAAGGCGTTTTGCTGTATTTGATTTTATGGGCCTCATACATACTTCCTGTCAGACCAGTGACGTTCACTTGTCAAGTGACGTACTTAATAAACAAGAGAAAAAAAAAAAGTTACTCATGAAATATTTACATATATGTCCCTTTTTGTCTTGACGCGTCGTTTACTCAAGCAAGAGGTTTTAAGAGTGGTCGGTAATAACATTGCGTGCACCGATGTTGTGTCACCTTGTCTCCTGCTGCTGCAGTAAAATAGTATTATAAAATGAAATCTTACACCGGATTAAATAGGCTGAGGAAGCCGAAAGGATTGGCATCGCAGCAACTGCTCTGAAAAAAAAAAAAAAACATTTTTATGAGATTGTTCTGTGGCGGCGATGAAACATCTTTGTATTCATAATTATAAAGCTAAGATGAAGGCATTGGTCGATTAAGATGAATGTCTTACTAGTAGAAGCAGTAGCATCGGCAATGCAAGAGAATAGAGCGAGGCCAGAGTGGGCTGCGACATGCTGACCGACGGACTGATTGATTGGCATAAACTACAAGTACTAACCCAGTACTAACTACAGTTAGTGTGAGGTAAGCAAGCGCCTGCATACTTATATTACTTGATATCAAAAGAAGACTTGCTAATTATCATTTCAATAATTCTTAGGTTTTCCAGTTTCAAGGTAACAGATAGAAACATAAGAAGAGAATAATGTTAGACTGCTATTGATTGTATAATATTACGTATTTTACGTTTTTATGAATAGCTTGTATTATCATGCGACACAACAAGAAACCTCTTAGCATGACAAAGAGGTTCTGTTATAGTATCCAGTGTTAAAGTTCCTCGCTGCAATCTGCAATGTTACCTCGTGAAAGTGACTGGTTATGGTAGCTAAGAATTAGATATTAGATAAAATTTGATGTAAAGATATCGAGTCGTTGTGGAATAGGTTTGGGTCGTTGCGTAACGATCGCCCGATCCCGAATCCCGATTTACTGCCCCTGTTCTCCTTTCCCGCTACATAGTGCCTGTCGGGAGGGTACGGGGGATGATACTGAGGTGCAGGGGGGGAGGGTGACGGAGCTCTGCTCAATCCTATAGGGCAGGGGGCAGTATTGTAGCGACGGCCGGTGTGGTCGCATGTGAGTTTCGCGCGTGTCTCGCCTAGTCCAGCGCCGCGTACTCCGCACCGGTGAGTATGTCTCTGTTATTGTCCTTATCATTGTTTGATGAATGAAGTTTGGCATCAAACAATACTGACACGATGTGCCGTATATCTTTTGTGTTGTCTTAAGAAATTTTGTTTTATTTTAATATGTACGTCCTAATTTTTAAATGTTAAACGTGTATATTAAATTTAAGTTTCTAGAAGGGAAAAAAAAAACATGGTAAAGCAATGCCTTAACCAATTTATGACGTGTTCAACCCTTTGTCGGGAGCTTTACTTTTAACCCTTTTCCTCTTATTTCTTCTTTTGTTGAAAGGAAAATAATTCAGTTTATAGACACGTTTACTAAAATCTAAGGAAAATAAACCAGGTACACGTTTGAGCTCTTTTTAGAATTGTTAAGTCCTGTTTATATAAAAGAATGCTGGTTGTAATGAGTTCAAAGATAAATAAATGTTCGATGTATTTGTCACATCGTGCATCCTACTTCTAGAATCTCACTTAAGTCCTAGATATATTGTTTGTGTACTTTATATATTGGTTATATAAACGAATAAATCAAATTTTTGCGAAAAAAAACGTTTTTTTTTGCAGGAGATCCAAAAGTAATATTTATTTAAGCCATATAAATTTTTGTTTTCGTAAATATCATTAGCTGACATGAAATATATAACACAATAGACTAATCCTTGACTCCAGACAGCGATATATTTTCTCTCTTCACATTCGTTTATATAGAAATTTAAAATTCTATGTAAGAAAAATATATATATAATATATAAGTAATGGAGATTACGCTTCTTAGAATTTAATCTGTAGGAAAAAAAATATATGCGAAAGATCCCCCGAGGCAGAGGCAGAGGCAGAGGCGAGCAATATCGCGTTCGGGTTCAATTTGAATATCCCGAGGGTAAATATAACATACCCGGGTGACCGCTACCCGGCTGGACATTGTCCGGATATCTTCAGACGTTAACCCTTGTCCCTCCTGGACACATCGCAGATTAGATTGTCTAATACACATGCAATACGTCAGATTGTGTATAACATCAGGCAAGTTTCTCTGTTGTATTACGCGTAAAGGTTACACAGATTTATACAAGTATTTCTGTTCATCATCATCATCATCAGCTCACTATACGTCCCCACCGAGGGACTCGGAGCCTACCCTAAGTTAAGGGTGATTTGGTCATAGTCAACCATGCTGGCCAAGTGCGTGTTGGTGTATTTCTGTTAATTCTAGCGAAATTCTTCCACATTTAATCAATCTTGTTACAAATGTTTGTCAAACAGTTCAGCAAAACAAACAGCTGACGGCGTACAATGATTTTGTTTGTTGAAGCGACGACCCACATACATAAATTACTCATTGTGATTTATATTAGTACGATACAATATTAATTTTGTTCTATTTAAATCAATTCATGGCCGATATTTGCAATGTATTATATTGAAATGTTAATCAATCACTACACAAAAGTTAGCTTGAGTTTCTATAGCACAGTAACGAACCTCAAAGAATTTCCCTAAAAAACATTTTTCGCAGTTGAATCTTACTCATTTCTTGTTAAATTCTAAAATTAAATGACAGATGTCTCTAGAGAGGGTTAAAACAATGTCTCCAAGCTATAAGTGATCTCGAGCAGGAACAAAACAATCTGGTCGCGTGGTTATCTTCTTCTGCAGCTATTTCTGTTGTTTTCTCACATCACACAAAAATTAAAACTGGGAACAACGTCATTCGGGTTAACTATTTCTGTTTTAATTTAGATTTCATTCGCAGATACATTTGTATCGCTTGCAATTTCACACGATCTGCGCTCGGCACGTAACTAATGGCTAACATTTTGAGGAAGGCGATTAATTCAGCGCGACTGTGGCTTTTGTCCTAGAGGTCGCCCTGTCGCTGGGACCCGCGGGGTGTGAGGTGTGCGGGCTGAGATGGGGGGGGGGGGGCGTTGCTTGACCCAATTGTGTTAGACTTCTTTTAGCTCTTTATCCTCCGCGTCTTATAAGATTTGATGGACTTAAAGACGGCTCTCATCTCGAGATTCCGCAAAGTATTTCTAGTTCATTATTTCTGTATTTAAGACTTAAGAGTACTGTTACTTACTCTATTATAAATTTTTTTTCAAAGTTTATCTTTACATTAGGGTATGGTTCAACTATATGTCAGTTGTAGCCGGAAGGGTTGATACGAAAGTGTTAAAGTAGATCTTGGGTAATCTTAAGTTTTTACAGGTTCATAATAAAAAGCAGATACTTGTGTTGTCTGTTTGCAAAGACAAGTCGGCGAGGAATAGAAGTGCGATCGTGAATTTTAAATTAGAGTCGTTTTTTGTTGCCACCATAAAACTTGGAACTTCTTTGTGTTATTACTTTTGTGTCGGCTGACAGTCAGTATCGCGACTTCGCTCAAATATACTGTCAAAAAAGTATCGGGAACGGATGGATGATATGTTTTGGTTGTGAATTGAAACTATTTCATGCGAGTTGTGATATTTCATTGACCTCTTTCATAACAATACAAAATAGTAGGTACACGATTCTAGTACAAGAGCTGGTGACTGCGGATGTCATTGAGTGCTATAGAGTGGGACTACACGAGCCGGTTGCGGTGCATTTAGCAAAGAAATCGAACTCGCTTTACGCTTGCAACAGTTCCAATGCATTTGTGCGGCAAACACAATGGCTTTTGTTCCGCAAAGTGCGCTGTAATGTACTGCCCGCGCCGCGCCAACTGCCGCCGCTGACCTACATGCTGAGTGCCGCCTTGCTTACACCTCTCAACACACTCTGCTCGGACGGCAGACTTCGACCACTTACATGATGAGAGTATAAAATCCTGACGGAACGTAACAGTACCCAATCATGATCTGAACTGAACACTGGCATATTGTTGCTTGAGGTAAAAAAAACCTGATGGTATGCTTTTTTGTGCCCCATGAGGTCTGGTTTTCGACAAACGTCTGCGTATATTGATTTATTGATTGATGATTGAGTTATTTATCGAGCACCCGAATGATTGCTTCTACTCGTATTTTATAACAGAGTGAAGAAAAAGTATAAACATTTAATTGTGAAAGTTGACAAGAGCAATGAATTACAGGAATGGTTCTTGTACGTGAGTTAGATGTGGTACATTCGTCAGCGTCGGGTGGAGCCGCAGCCGACTCTTGCTGTCATTGATGCGACAAGAATTTTATTTGCGTCTTGTTTGCTGCTTATTTGTCGGATGTCAGACGACGCGCAGCTTTTTATTTTTATAACAGCAATTTCTTGGCGGCGCGCGATCCTTAAACAAAATGGAACCTCCCAAGGAACAATGTTAGAACGTTGGAGCAAAATATACGAGTTAACCTGTACTTTATTTTAGTCTCTGCCCCTGAATAAAGTAACAAGGAAGCACACTAGATCCTTTTTCTCCCAGATAAACTGAGTTACTTCTTTTTATTCATCTTCTCAAGATAATAGAACTTTATATAAGATAATTATAAGTCAGAGATATAAGAGCAACGTAACTTCCAGGTTTCTGAAATCGTTTTCTGGCATTCAGCTTTATCTCTGAATGCTCTGAAATTACTTGAACATCTTATTTTATGTCTCACAAACTTTTAGTGTAAAGTTAGGTTTCTAAGATAAGGAAAATAAAAAGTGAAAAATAGCGGGAATTAAAATAATATTTCAATTTGTAAATGGCGAGGAAAGGGCAGATTAAGCGGGAACCCTCCGGTGGTGGGGGCGGGGGAGGGGAAGCGGGGAGGTCGTAAATCGTGGTGGGATGGGGAAGGTAATTGAGATGACGCGCGGAAATAAGGTGACTGGATTAGAAGCGGATCTTGCGAGAGTTGAGACGATATCATCCTTATCTACTATACTTTGCGTTTTAGTAACGTACAGTCTCGTAGCTAGACTACGGCGCCAGGCAGAACTAGCTTTTTAGTTTATTGATGACTACCACTCGAGGTGAGATCAGGAGATCTACTCGTGGCATCTTATTCACAGCGCATTATAGTTTAGTTTAGTATACCCCGCAAAATTATAGTTAAATTAGTTGATGCCCGCGACGCGCTCGGAATTAAAAAAAAACATAATTGGTAGCCTATGATCTTCAAGACTATGTTCCGTTTAGCCATTCTGGAGATACCTTCAAACAAATATCAATTTTGAAAAATGTTCACGTTCAATGTCAAATACCCTGCAATGGATAAGTTTTACGCCCGCATTTTCAATTACTGCTCATAATACAAGCAAATTAATAAAAACTTTATCCTTTTTCCGTAAGTAAAAGCACAAAATTTTAAAAAATTAAAACAGCACATCGTTGAAAAGTTTAAACGCAAACCTTTATCATTACAGAAATTCTTTGCTAAATGATAACATTTGCGCACACGACTGTACTCAGATATGTTTTCATTTCGTTCTGCAAAAGTATTATACACAAAAGTAAATGTGTTTTAATTTGGCAACAAGTAACGTAACGTTTTGCGGTAATTTTGTTATGACTAACGTCTTATTTAAGTTGCAAATGCTGCTTATTTTTTGTTGCATGCATTTTGTTTCGGAACTTTGGCGTGCAGTTGAGCAACGACTGACATGTTGTAAAGTTAGCGGCCAACACATGTTTTAATATCGAAGTAAAGTAAAAACAAATGTTAGAACGATGAAACATGAATAAAACTAATATTGTTTAACACAAAGAGATGCGATGATAGTTTATTCTCAAGTTGGTTGGAGTGGGGGTGGCGAGGGATCCCCGAGGGAGGGGTGAAGGCGGGGAGAGGTGGAGGAGGAGGTGCAAGGAGACATTTCTTTTGGAACAAGTCTCATGTGAGCTTGTAACATTTATCACATAGATTTTATTTACGTTGCACCATAAAATTGTTAGTTGTATATCCCCGAGATATGTCGAGTGTTCAATTTCAATAAACACGATATTAAAACTACAGTTTGCAGTCTCTGTGTCGTGTCCTCCGTCTCGTCTCTCGAGTCCGGCTACTGTTGTATGTTTGCAGTAAGAAAAA